GTTGAAAACACTATAAGGAAATATGGTAGTTTTTATATTTCTGAAGCGTAAATTTCTTGTTCTCAACTCACTGAGAATAGAACCTCAAGCGAGTTACAAATGCTTCTCAGAATTAGCCGTTTGGCATTTGGTAAGTTATTTCTTTGAAATAAAAATATGTATGATCACTACTTAGATTTAACTTAATTTATTTTTCTTTCGTAGTTGCAGGCTGCTGAATGCATAATATATATATATATATATATTATAAGTTATTTTAAAATCTGTTCAGTATTTTTATAATAATGGAGGAGAATTCGAATTCATCGGAAAACGGTTTCTGTATTTATCAGTTTCTGAAAGAAATTAGAATTCCAGCAGAAAGCTCTGGAGCTACAAATGAAATGATATGCAGCATTTGCTTTATGTATTTATATATGTATATAATTTATAAGGTATTTTTTCTTTTCTTCCCGTATGTCTTCATGGTGCAGCTGGAAGCATGCTCGACGCGTATTCGAGAGGTCCGGAGTTGAAATCCCCATGAGGGATTTCTTCGTTTTCCTACCTTCTAAAAAAATTCTAAATGACTTTACAAGTGGGGCCCGAAGTGAAAAAGGTGGTCGACGATAATTCATCAAAACCCTGAAATTGGCGAGTGGGTTAACTATATCCAGTCGCGCTTTAAAAGGGAGAATATTAAAGGTTTTTTCTCGGCCTTTCTGCATGCCTTCGGTGTGTAACTACAAGCACGCTCTACGAGTATTCGAGAGGTTCCATGTTCGAATCTCGCCGAACGAGAGTGCACATTTTCACGTCCCTGTATCGATATAACCTAATGGCTCTAAAGGCTTAACAGGAATATTAATATAAAATTAACTTATTACTATTTTCATTTACTTCTACATTTAATTTTAATTATATATTATTTGTTGTTTTATTTATTTTTTATCACTATTATTATCCTTTTTTATTTTTCATCATTGTTTCTAATAAACCTTAGGACTTATAATTTTTGAAATTAAGAACTGATGTGTACTTCGAGTTGTACTTCGGGATGTAATTTTACTTGTGTAATTCGGGTACTATTAGTCACTTACGAAGGCATTTTCTCCCTCCTTCCAGCATGCCTTTGTCGTGTAAAGATAGCGTATTTCAAGATGTTCAGGCTCGAGTCCTGGCGAGAGCACTACAAATTTTTAGCATCTCCTGCTTCAAAATAATCTGATGACTCTACAAATGGCGCCAGAACTAAAACGTGGTGGACAATAATTTGTCACCACTAGGATCCCCTAATTCGCAGGCGTCCTCTAAAAGGGGAAGTATGTAAAGTATTTTCTTCCTCGTTCAAGCTTGCCTTCATATTGCATATGGCGTGTATTCGAGAGGTGCGTGTTCGAGTGCCGCGATTTAGTAATTGCTCAATCACGGGTGCGGTCATTTAATACTTTAAGTTCTATAAAGTATGCAATTCTTTTAGCCTTAAGGTTAGCCAGATAAAGCACATTTTAAAACTTTAGTGCACATGGTACTCAAAACTACTGTTTAGCATTTACTTCGTATTAAAAATTTTTTCTAGGATTAATGTTATTGACCTATACCCGATGTTGCTTATAAATCACCTAATAAATTTAAATCTAGAACTTGTAACATAAATATACAGTTCTCATAAATTAAGACTTAGACTAATTTAGACAAACGGAAGTCAACGAAAACCATAAAACTCTAAAGATTATAGCATAGTGTAGTTATAAAGTTTGAAATTATTTAGCACATACAAAATCGTGCATTCCATAATTTGTTTTCGTAAATTTGTAATAACATCGACATAAATATTCGTTACCAATTTCGAAATTGCGCACTTTTTTCAACACTTTTCTGATACATTATTAGTCACTGATAACATTTACAAAAATTTAGCTAAAAAATTGTGTTTTTGTTTTGTGGCAATTTTTACAATCCATAAAATAACAATTGTACAATTACTTTATAATAAAATATCTATGCTTTTCCAATCATACTATTTGAAAATTTGCTTAGTATCTCAGGCATAAATTTATTCTTAATTGCATTTGTTTCGAAGCATTGCAAATTATCAAAGCCGAAGAAGTTCTCTTTTTTTTTTGAGAGGGGGGATGAAATCACCCTATATGCGGTCAGCTCGTAAATTTAGAGCTCCTTTTTTCACGGGGGGCTAAAGAGGAGGGGATAATCTGAAATCACCCTATATGCGGTCAGGTCCTAAATTTAGAACCCCTTTTTTCACGGGGGACTGAAGAGGAGGGGATAATCTTGCTCCTGGTCTTGAGAAAATGTGGGGGTCGTTTAAACATCTAACTTCTCTACATTCAGTTTTTATACAGAGAAAAAAAACAAATTGAATTCTTCGAATGAATGAAATTTTGTACAATGAAAATATATTATTGAACTATAAACTGTAAGGCAAATAACATCTTCTATTAAAGTAGGAGTAGAAACACAGATATTTGTTAAATCAATGAATTTGTAGTAAATATTGAGTTTTTCATTTAGAATGCTATGTTCCATGTATGCGAAGTAGCTGAGTATCTGAGAAAATAGCCTTTAACCCAAATTGCCTTCAACCTTTTCACGTCTAAGGACTGTTTTTCAATTACATAGCTGTCGCTGCTTTTTTGGTTAATTTTCTAATGACATATAAACATTAAATTGTTTTTAATTTGAGACTTATGAATAAAATAACGCAAAGTAGACTGCAGACAATTCTTCAGAATGAAGTTAATACTGAAAAATACATTTATCCTATTATCCAATTTTATCCTACAATAAATCTTTTTTTTTTTAACAGACTTTTTAAGTGTGGAATTAGCAGTGCACAAGGTGGAAATAAGAATGACACTGTGTTTTAGGAAAGTGGAAAATCTAGTTACAGTGACAATCTAAGTGAAAATAACTATGATTTTAGCAACAGTGATGACGAATTTCTGGAAGTCTAAGAAACGCTGATGTATTTGCTAATTTTTTAATGCAACAGTTCTGTTTTCGTTGTGTAAAGTTGTAAAGTCATTAGGATTTTTTTTTTTTTTGGAAGCAGAAAAGATGAAAAATATGCAACCGCCTTCACCAGGAATCGAACCACGGACCTCTGGAATACCGGGCCAGCGTGCTACTGTTACACCACGAAGGCACGCTAGGGAAGTGGGAGAGAAATACCCTACACACTCCCCCTTCCAATGGGCGACCAGGGCGGACCCAGTCGCCAAACCCGGGGGCGGAGAATACCTCACAATCCTTTAGCCGGGCGCCACTTGCAGAAACATTCGTAATTGGAAGAAGAAAAGATGAAAAATATGCAACCGCTTCGCAGGAATCGAACCACGGACCTCTGGATACCATCCCAGCGTGCTACCGTTACACCACGAAGCACGCGCGAGTTAGAAATACTTATAAAGTTTTATCTTAAATAGGTACTTAATCCTTTTTTCTTCTAGTATTTTCCCATGTTTTAACTGATAAATCACGCGCGTCTTCAGGCAGAATGAGTATGGTATAAATCACCCTTCATTTGATCGGCCGACGATTCGATGAAAAAAAGGACTTTTAAAAACGAACTCTTAACGAGAAGCCGTTTTATGACAGAATAATGTCTAAAAATACCGTCAAATTCAGTATCTTGATTAATGCTTTTTTAGCATTTTTGAATAATTATAATGTAATTTGTAATTAAAAAAATGTATAATATTTTACTTAGTTACATGCTAGTTATCTGTGTTATTGCTTCGTTTCTGGTATAGACCCCCGCCTCCCAGAAAAAAGCGTTTTGCTCCTCGATCGCAAAAATTTCGCGATTTTTCATTACTTAACCAGTGGAATTTCCTAGTTTTCCCCCCAATAAAATTACAACTCTGGAACAACTGAGTAAAATATTTGCAGATGAAATTTCAAAATTTAACGAAATCAGTTAATGAAATACTTGCAAGTAATATAATGTTTTGCGTGCGAAATATATTCTTGATTCCAAACCCTTATTGCTAGGCATTAGCCCATCGCTCTTAGAATACATTAATTAGTTCCAAAGGGGCAATTTGCCCAGAAGGATTATTAATTTCATTTTGGCATTTTGCGTTGAAAATATAAACCGCGAATCACTTTTCAAATTGTTGCCACCAAATAATATCGCCCTGTACTATATTTAAAGAAATAAATTAATAATGAAGAGTCTGCATGAATGTATGTATGTATGTTTCTCGTTTATGATAAAACGACGGTACCTAGAACCATCAAAATTTGAATAACGAAATCTTCCATCGAATATCGGCGTAAAATTTGTTTTTATTATAGATTTCACATTTTATAACAGTTCAACGAATTTTTGATTAACAAACTCAGCGATTTCAATTTTTGATTAAAAATTTTTATCCCAGTCGCAATATAGATTTCTGATATACGATACTGAATGTGACCTAAAAACACTTTTCTTTTAAAATATATCTCCCCTTATGATCCCTGACACAGCCGTTTACTTTTCCCTTCCTTAATTAACGTCAGTCTCTTGCTCTTGACCGCATTTGCAAAGCCACCGGTGGGGGATAAAAACCAAAGGAATTATTTTTATTATTCTGAACCCCTAAAAATACCGTAATCAAAATTACGTTCATTGACAGTTCCATATTTTAAGGTAATATTATTAATCAACGCAAAAGTAGTACTTAGGTATAGATAACTTAAATGTTTCCATTTTTGAGCCACATTACTTATAAACACATAACGACATAGACCTTCAAAATGTTTTAAATAATATTAAAGACAAGCATAGTTCAAGTTTGAAATCAAATTTTCTTTTATAAAAATATAAATATCACCAGATTAAAGTATTAAATGTGCATAAAACGTTTATCTAGAATTAGATTTTGTCAAGTAAAACGAAATCTGAGCATATCTAATATAAGGACATTGCTTGCAGATAATGGTAATTGAAGATTGACTGAAGCACAGAAAACAAGCATCAGTTTTACAAAAGAAATAATTTAGAGTATACTCACTAGAAACTTCATGTTAAAATTGTAGGTGCTGTGGTAATGAAAATTCTTTCTTGTCTGGCAGCTTGGAAGAATGAATGTAAGGTGAACTTATTTTTTGGACTTTTATATATGATGTTAGTAGTCTCGTTCCATAGGTTGCTTTGCTGAATGACGTCAAAGGAATCTTAAGGTCATTGGATGCCATATACTATGGTACCCCTGTGGCACTTTCACAATCGCCTTTCCTATGTACTTAACTATCTTCACCTCATCTCAACCTAAGGAGGGCACAGCTTAGGGATGACTTGGGGCAAAGGAGACCGGATTTTGAATGCCCCCCCTTTGCCCATCTGCTTCAGTTCTGGGCAGTTGTAACTAGTTTCATGTTTGTTCCTTGAAAGCTGCAGAAGCTGGAGCTGTTAGAAAGGCAACATATTTTAGAAACATCTTTTTATAAATTACGAGATGTAAATTCGAAAATTATGAAAAAATCATATTTAATTTAATTTGTAAATTGAATCAAAATTAAAGTCATCAGAGGCACTAATATTACATCAGAAACAAGTTTTAATATTTCAGAATTGACAAAAACATATAGAGAGCCAGAACCAGATTTCTGAAGGTTGAAAGATTAGTTATTTATTTTTTTTCCAGCTAAGATGAGTTTAGCTATTAAGATTCTGCGCAAGTAGTTTGAAAAATAGTTCTTAACAAATGCGATTTTTTTTCTCTTGTCGAGAAATATTCCAGTTCCGTTTAGAAAGAAAACGGCTTAATTTTTTTCCAATAATTTCTCTTTTGAATGCATTTTGCAAAATTTCGACTCAAAATGATTTGTTTTAATTTGTTTACATTAACGAAAAGGAATCACATCACTATCGAAACGTTTTATAATTATTCCTTTTTCTTCAGATATGGAAATTGACGTTTTTTAAATGCCAAGGCAATTTTTTTAAAATATTAAATATCTCAAAATTTTTAGATCATTTTACAGAAACAAGGGCTATACACTCCTCACTAATAACTTCATTTTACGCCAGAGCTCTGTGAATAAATAATGAAGTTGAATAGCATTAATTGCTGAATAGTGCGAATGCAACCATCAACTATAGCATAAATTTCTCTTTTTTACACTGTGACTCGAGAACAGCTAATAAGAATACTGCAGCATAGATACTTTTTGAATGTTTAACTAACATAGTGCTCTTTAGGAAAGTGTTAAGCTTTAACATTTTAATTTATTCCCTTTTTTGCATAATTTTACCTATAGTTTCTTTAGGATAATCTCCACAAAGGTATTCCTCCTGAGTACAACAGATCTATACTGATATGTCATAAAATTAATTTAATCTAAGTTAGCTTAATCTCTATGTTACCGCCAAAGAATAAAATCAGGTATTCTATAGAATAGGCATTTTACAGAATGCCGAAAACTGGAAGGCATTATATGAAACGAATGAACATTTCATACATTGCCTAGGAATTCTATCAGGTGACAAACCGGCAACGGATGAAATATATCTCCACATCATGTACAATACCTATAGAAATTATATAATAATTCATGCAATATATCGACAGTTGTAATGAATGTGACACAGGATAGTTTATACTGATTTGGAACGTCTGAAAGAATTTTAAACAGGTATATACGAGATTATAGTTCATTTTATGTTCTAAGAATTTGCTTAGTGTTGAAGATATTCTTGACCATGAAATTCCTCTCTGGTCAGTTGCGATTGCTCGGTCCAATGGAAACGGCTAAGTATTCTTTTAGTGCATGTATAAAACAAAGTGCCAAAATATGAAATGTCTTTGTGTGAAAAAAGTAATAAAGTGAATTCAAAATACCATTTGAGCCTACCATGTTGCAACAAATAGGTTAATTTTATTTCTCATATGAAAATCTTGTTTTCTTTAATAAGAAAGGCGTAAATTTTGTTTCGAACAATTTTCGTTTGATATGTATTTTGAATAAAAATATTTTAATGGCACTCTTTCATTATTTTTCCAAAATTATATTTATATTTTGAGGAATGAACGTCTTTTAAATAATATTATCATGATCTTTTCTTCATACTTTGCCTAAAGAGCATTCGTCATTCTATAGAATTCCTAGGTATTGTATACAATGCTAGGTAAAATATATAACAATTCTCACATTTCATACTTTGCCTAAAAATGCCAGGTATTTTGCAAAATAAGCTCGTAAGGATTACTATCAAATAGCTGAACTTAACTTTTTTACATTTGGTTTTTTAAATATACTATTTAATTACAGGTACAGGTGCTGTCAACTGATTATAAGTTTATTCACATGTCAACGATATTACCCTCATTTACCCTCATTGATAATTTCTAACGATACAAATTATTTTTAATGACTAGATATGCTATTTAAAGGAGAACATATGGCTCATCAAAGTTCCATCTCTATTTTTGAAGTTTAAATATTGAAATTAGTTGACAGTATTACATCGGTTGGTCCGATTTATTGAGCCTGATAAAATATCAATAAGTTGATTCTGATAAGCTGAACTTCATGATTAAAAACTTTGCGTTAAGAAGTTATGAAAATATAACAAATGTAAATATTACCAATTACAGAATCTCTTGTCGCAGAAGTGAATACTAATCTTTCAACAATAATTTTCATGAAACAGATCAGCCTTTTTTAAAAAAATCATGTTGAATTATGCCCTGCAATGAAGATCACACAACACTAATAGTACTTATTAGCTGATGCTTATTCAAGAACGGCGCTAGGCCTTTTGGCCATCTGGTGCAATCACAGTGGCTCCTAAATTCTGCCCCTAGTGTCTTCATAATGCTAATTAATTTTGCCGCCCATAAATACTGCCTTCATCTGCGACCGCACCTTTTGCGTTGACTGTGCTGTTCACTCTGCCTATATGTTATTGATTTACGGAAAAGTGCATTTGTGGGTGAAATATTTCGAAATCGAATAATAAAATTTGAAAAATGCTCTTAAGGTTGTTTTGCAGCGAAATCGTGATCACAATCAATATATCGGAGAGCTGGATATGGTTCGAAAATTACAAAACAACACGCGAGAAATAATTTTATACAGAAAAATGTATGTATCAAACTTCCGTATTGGCAGCCGTTAAATTTAATATCTGTTTATATCTCTTATAACATTTTTGAAGTAAGTATTGCCAGCAAAATGTTTTATCACAGTAGAAACGAGCTGATGATGAAATTGTCTATCTAGAATCTAGTTTAAGCATATATATTTCTTGAGAAAAGTGTTTGGCACGTAATTGGGCTAAATGGCAAAGTTCTGTCACTGCTGAAAGGTTCTAAAGTAATTGGTAATTTTCTCTAGCTTACTGTCAGAATTAAATCGTGGAAGGCAGCACTTTAGTTTATCGCTTATCTTTAGTTTAAACCACACATTTCCTTATCTTTATAAATTTATCTTTGATCATTCAGTTGTTTGCGAATTTCACTATTTATCTTCCTTTGGTAGCTGTTAATTAAATATAAATCCAGTTAGACTACTGTGGAACAACAACTGAGATAACTGAAAAAATATATGACACATCTACTATCTAATTGTCTTTCAATCGTTTAGTAAGTTTGTCGAAAGAACACTTAAAATTATATATGCTCAGTTTATTTCTACGTTAAAATATAAATCTGAGACTCTATCCTCTCTCACAGAGCTGTATGGTTAAATCTAGACAGGAATATAAACAGAAATGTAATTTTTATTCCAATTTATCCAATGAACGAATTTAAAATTTTCTTTCAGGATCGAAAATATATTCTTGAACGGAAGATATTGTGTCATTATATATTGTGAAGATATTGTGTAAGACGCAAAAAAGGCAAATTTTATATTTTTGTAATTAGTGGTTTCTAAATTAAGGTTCGAAAAAATTCAGAAAATTATACAGCCACTTTAATGGGAAATTTACTAAAGTTATATTTTTGTAAATAGGTGAGGTAAATGGTTACCGAAACATAAAAATTCAAATTTCACCTTACTGCAAAACCTAATTGTGGACGAGTAGCTAATACCCTGAATAATGTTACACATGGGTGTAACACCATAAAGATTACTAAACCTACCATGAATGCGAGTCAATTTTCCTAGAAAGTCTTACACGAATGTATATTTTCCTTTAAGCAGATAGCTCTGGTATGTTTTGCCTCAATCTATTGACGAATTTTATAATCTGTCTCCTATGACATATAATTTCTAAACGAGCTTGCTTCAAGTACTTTAAATTTGGTATGACACATTCATCAGTGCTTTTTACGTCAAAATAAGAAAGCAAGTAAATATTTAGAAAAAAAAATATTTAGAAATAAATATTTAGAAATAAAACAATAAGAAAGTTTAGTTGTAATATAAAACGTTACATGAAATTTAATCATTATTTTTAATTTTTTATAAAGGGTGAAAAAAATAGAGAGGGGGATTTTTTTTTATGTTTTTGAAACTACCGCATAGTTGTAAAGTGTGATGAACTGTTAGCCAGTTGCAGTAAGAACCAGTCCTAAACCACTGAGTAACAGCGAATAGAAAAAGAGATAATTTTTTTTTCCTTCTAGGCTTTCAGGTGAAGAACGAGTCTGTTCGTCAGTCCTCTGTGTTCAGAAGTCATTCACATTTCGAAAATATTTGCAATTGATCAAATAAATATGCGATCGTGCAAAACGCTAAGTTTTCCGTGGTTATATTTATTTTTGGTTACGTTTATTCTGGGTTGTGTCTCTTAAATAAATGTCTATAGAAATATACCTAATTAGAATTTTAAATCAAGTTTTATTATTAAGTTAATTAATAAAGTTTATTAATATCTATTAATAATTTTTTTATTAATTTATTTATAATAATTTAGTTTTTATTAATAACGAAAACTAGTATCATTCTCCGTACACAAAACCACTTAAAATTTTCATTTTGATTCCAATGCATTTTTAAGTGTGATTTCTGTTTGATTGATGCTTATTCTACGGTTACTTTTAGTTAGATATCCTTTACTCAAAGTTTGTTGAATTAGTATCTTTAATGCCCCTCAAAAAATTTCTCTTTATGCATATGTATGCTGGACTCTTCTGTTTAATGTATAAAGATAAGCAAAACACTGTCTCACGTATCTGACATGCAAAGTTTTCAAAATTATATGGCCATAACCTTTATATCCTGAAATATTAACTCTACACTTGTTTTCCAATTACAAAGCTTCTAAAAATAATGTGGAAACTTTTATGAAAATAGTTTCATCACTGCAAAGAGTAAAGTTTATAAATATGTTGTTATTGTTTAAAATTTTGTGACTTAATTCTTTCATCGATTTACATTTTAAATAGATAAAATCTATCCTGTTGTGGTCCTTGCAAAAGGAAAATATTTCAAATATAAATATTTTCCGTATATTTCAATAGGATAAATAGAAATATGTTATTTTTCCGTGAAAAATTATGTAGATATTAAAGAAGACATTTGTTGCTTAAAATAATTTCTCAGTACCTAATTTGGTCAATGATGAAAAGCAATGATTATATGTAATATTAAAATTAGCGAGTAAAATTCATAGTATTAGTTAGTGATTGAAATTCATAACATAATTACGTGCGTACGGGTACGTAATAGATTGAATGCACAAGTCCGATAATAGGTTAATAAAAATTTATTTTTTATCAAAAGAAATATTTCAGAACTGATAAATTTTCCACAGAAATATTCGCACAAGTATTCTTGACAGTATCACACAGTATAATCAGTAGTTACACTAGAAACTACTATGAACGTTAAACAAAACGCAACGCAAATCGCATCTAAAGAAAAAGCTAACTCAGATATCTCAGTTCACATGAACTAAACAACTCGCAAAAACCTAAGCAACTGCGAGCAGAAGCTCTCGCTCTTCGGCCTTGAATAGTTTTTAATAGGTCGAGAGATATTTCTAGTACTAATACAAAGTACTAATACGAAAGCAATACGAAGATAGAATTACGGTTACAGCTAACATAGCGGTCAATTACATGTATAAATACTAATACAAATTACCGAGATATCCATTTACTCAATGTTAAATCGCATGCCGCTGTATTCTTACTTTTCCGGTATAGCTTTCACTTAAAAATTTGTCTCGCGCTACATTACGCAGAAATGTACAACAATTCTAACTCTGCTATAACTACCTATCTAATTATAAAATTCGTAACAATATTAAAGTTTATTTTTCCTATTTATATAGTCTTTCAAATGCAGAATTGTAATTGCATAAATAATATTCTCGACCGTCTAGGGCACATGAAGAACAAAGTGACTAAATTTCTAAACATTGTAAGTTCGTCGAAAGTTCTTGTTCCTGTGACTGGACTGAATAGTTATGCGATTTTCTCCATGTAGAATCTAAATGTAAGGCAATTATCTGCAGAAATTTCATCTTGAAGACAATCTCCGTCTTCGGCAAGTAATCCTCTCTTGCTTTGTCATCATTTAGGTAGCAATTTAAATAGATTACTCATTATTAAGTTTTCTCATTAGTTTTGGATATTTACGGAAATTTCTCGTCTGACCATTTTTCCTCGCAGCAGATAAATCCGCGAATGTCAGATATTTTTAAATTATTTCCCAAATTTCAATTGCATATATTAAATTTCTTTCCCTTTATTTATTAGTAATTTAATTATTAGTAATTTTAGTCTACCTTCATTCGAAATTACACGAAAAATCTCTAATATAAGATAATATTAATCCAGAACTAGGTAGAATTAATCTAGAATCCTCAAGAAGCAAAACATTTCCATTAAGCTACTAAAATGTACTGTATATTTTTGTATCTGCAATGTTTTTCCTTGCAAGGGTTACATGAATTACATGTACTGCAAGAATGTTTTAGATCTAGATTAAGTGAATGTATGACAGACTTCGAAAATGTGGAAAAACTCCGTTTTCTTAAGCAGCAAAATCACTAACTGTTACCTTTCAGTGCTCATTACCAATGTCGACTTCATTGCATTCCATTTGCAAGTTTAAAAATACATTACAGGAGGACAAGAAATATCCAGTGAGAGAGCAAAGTAATTAATAAAACGAATTTTACTTAAATGGAAGTCTCGATTTTTATGTACAAGGTTTACAACATTATTTGAACTTTGGTTTTTATCGCATCAGTTTTGTAATATATATAACAAAATGCTTCTATAGTCTATGCTGTCTGAGTATATGGATATCATCATACAGAATGCAAATATATTTGGTACTCTATATGATACTCTAGATCAGGGTTACTTGAACTATTTGGTGTTGGGACCCCATAATATATCTACGAAAAATTTGTGGGAAACCATAAGCATTTCGGAAATCCGACGCACTTTTAAGTAAAACTGTCAGTTTATTTACTTGTACTGTATTATATTATTGCAGTTTTAGGTCATTAACTTTAATTTTTTAAAGTAAAATGAACGTTTCTATTATAACACATGCGTCAAACGTTTTCATTTTTTTACTTGTCCGTATTGTCTTATCTTTATATTTTTCAAACACCTTATGTAGAAATATTTGTTAATTATAAAATTATTATAATAAGTTAAAGAAATATAAAAATTGCTAACATTTATGGCGACTG